CCGGAGCCGGTCAGGGAGGGGGTGCAGAACTTTATGGGTCTTTGGGAGCTTGGAGGCAAACACATCCCCCTCCCTGGGTCCCCCAAAACAGAAACCTCCGAGTTGTCCTGTCCACCCCGGGGCCTCCTGGGGTGCTGGGTGCTGCTTTTGGGGTACTGGGTGCTGTACGAGGGGTGCTCGGTGCTGCTTTTGGGGTGCTTGGAGCTGCACTTGGGGTGCTTGATGCCAGATTTTGGGTGTTTGGTGCTGTGCGAGGGGTGCTCGGTCCTGCTTTGGGGTTGCTCAGTGCTGCTTTTGGGGTGCTGGGTGCCACACGTGGGGTACTGGGGTGCTCGGTGCTGCATTTGGGGTGCTCATTGCTGCTTTTGGGGTGCTTGCTGCTGCATACGAGGTGGTTGGAGCCAAACTCGGGGTGCTGGGTGCCATATTGCGGTGCTGGGTGCTGTACGAGGAGCACTTAGTGCTGCTTTTGGGGTGCTCGGTGCTGCTTTTGGGGTGCTCAGTGCTCCATACAGGCTGCTCGAAGCTGCACTTGGGGTGCTGGGTGCTGTACGTGGGGTGCTTGAGGCCAGATTTTGGGTGCTTGGTGCTATATGTGGGGTGCTCGGTGCTGCTTTTGGGGTGCTCAGTGCTGCTTTTGGGGTGCTAGGTGCTGCTTTTGGGGTACTTGGTGCTGCATACGGGGTACTTGGAGCCACACTCGGGGTGCTGGGTGCCATATTTGGGGCGCTGGGTGCTGTGCCGGGGTGCTCAGTGCTGCTTTTGGGGTGCTAGGTGCTGCTTTTGGGGTACTTGGTGCTGCATACGGGGTACTTGGAGCCACACTCGGGGTGCTGGGTGCCATATTTGGGGCGCTGGGTGCTGTGCCGGGGTGCTCAGTGCTGCTTTTGGGGTGCTAGGTGCTGCTTTTGGGGTACTTGGTGCTGCATACGGGGTACTTGGAGCCACACTCGGGGTGCTGGGTGCCATATTTGGGGCGCTGGGTGCTGTGCCGGGGTGCTCAGTGCTGCTTTTGGGGTGCTAGGTGCTGCTTTTGGGGTACTTGGTGCTGCATACGGGGTACTTGGAGCCACACTCGGGGTGCTGGGTGCCATATTTGGGGCGCTGGGTGCTGTGCCGGGGTGCTCAGTGCTGCTTTTGGGGTGCTAGGTGCTGCTTTTGGGGTACTTGGTGCTGCATACGGGGTACTTGGAGCCACACTCGGGGTGCTGGGTGCCATATTTGGGGCGCTGGGTGCTGTGCCGGGGTGCTCAGTGCTGCTTTTGGGGTGCTAGGTGCTGCTTTTGGGGTACTTGGTGCTGCATACGGGGTACTTGGAGCCACACTCGGGGTGCTGGGTGCCATATTTGGGGCGCTGGGTGCTGTGCCGGGGTGCTCAGTGCTGCTTTTGGGGTGCTAGGTGCTGCTTTTGGGGTACTTGGTGCTGCATACGGGGTACTTGGAGCCACACTCGGGGTGCTGGGTGCCATATTTGGGGCGCTGGGTGCTGTGCCGGGGTGCTCAGTGCTGCTTTTGGGGTGCTAGGTGCTGCTTTTGGGGTACTTGGTGCTGCATACGGGGTACTTGGAGCCACACTCGGGGTGCTGGGTGCCATATTTGGGGCGCTGGGTGCTGTGCCGGGGTGCTCAGTGCTGCTTTTGGGGTGCTAGGTGCTGCTTTTGGGGTACTTGGTGCTGCATACGGGGTACTTGGAGCCACACTCGGGGTGCTGGGTGCCATATTTGGGGCGCTGGGTGCTGTGCCGGGGTGCTCAGTGCTGCTTTTGGGGTGCTAGGTGCTGCTTTTGGGGTACTTGGTGCTGCATACGGGGTACTTGGAGCCACACTCGGGGTGCTGGGTGCCATATTTGGGGCGCTGGGTGCTGTGCCGGGGTGCTCAGTGCTGCTTTTGGGGTGCTAGGTGCTGCTTTTGGGGTACTTGGTGCTGCATACGGGGTACTTGGAGCCACACTCGGGGTGCTGGGTGCCATATTTGGGGCGCTGGGTGCTGTGCCGGGGTGCTCAGTGCTGCTTTTGGGGTGCTAGGTGCTGCTTTTGGGGTACTTGGTGCTGCATACGGGGTACTTGGAGCCACACTCGGGGTGCTGGGTGCCATATTTGGGGCGCTGGGTGCTGTGCCGGGGTGCTCAGTGCTGCTTTTGGGGTGCTAGGTGCTGCTTTTGGGGTACTTGGTGCTGCATACGGGGTACTTGGAGCCACACTCGGGGTGCTGGGTGCCATATTTGGGGCGCTGGGTGCTGTGCCGGGGTGCTCAGTGCTGCTTTTGGGGTGCTAGGTGCTGCTTTTGGGGTACTTGGTGCTGCATACGGGGTACTTGGAGCCACACTCGGGGTGCTGGGTGCCATATTTGGGGCGCTGGGTGCTGTGCCGGGGTGCTCAGTGCTGCTTTTGGGGTGCTAGGTGCTGCTTTTGGGGTACTTGGTGCTGCATACGGGGTACTTGGAGCCACACTCGGGGTGCTGGGTGCCATATTTGGGGCGCTGGGTGCTGTGCCGGGGTGCTCAGTGCTGCTTTTGGGGTGCTAGGTGCTGCTTTTGGGGTACTTGGTGCTGCATACGGGGTACTTGGAGCCACACTCGGGGTGCTGGGTGCCATATTTGGGGCGCTGGGTGCTGTGCCGGGGTGCTCAGTGCTGCTTTTGGGGTGCTAGGTGCTGCTTTTGGGGTACTTGGTGCTGCATACGGGGTACTTGGAGCCACACTCGGGGTGCTGGGTGCCATATTTGGGGCGCTGGGTGCTGTGCCGGGGTGCTCAGTGCTGCTTTTGGGGTGCTAGGTGCTGCTTTTGGGGTACTTGGTGCTGCATACGGGGTACTTGGAGCCACACTCGGGGTGCTGGGTGCCATATTTGGGGCGCTGGGTGCTGTGCCGGGGTGCTCAGTGCTGCTTTTGGGGTGCTAGGTGCTGCTTTTGGGGTACTTGGTGCTGCATACGGGGTACTTGGAGCCACACTCGGGGTGCTGGGTGCCATATTTGGGGCGCTGGGTGCTGTGCCGGGGTGCTCAGTGCTGCTTTTGGGGTGCTAGGTGCTGCTTTTGGGGTACTTGGTGCTGCATACGGGGTACTTGGAGCCACACTCGGGGTGCTGGGTGCCATATTTGGGGCGCTGGGTGCTGTGCCGGGGTGCTCAGTGCTGCTTTTGGGGTGCTAGGTGCTGCTTTTGGGGTACTTGGTGCTGCATACGGGGTACTTGGAGCCACACTCGGGGTGCTGGGTGCCATATTTGGGGCGCTGGGTGCTGTGCCGGGGTGCTCAGTGCTGCTTTTGGGGTGCTAGGTGCTGCTTTTGGGGTACTTGGTGCTGCATACGGGGTACTTGGAGCCACACTCGGGGTGCTGGGTGCCATATTTGGGGCGCTGGGTGCTGTGCCGGGGTGCTCAGTGCTGCTTTTGGGGTGCTAGGTGCTGCTTTTGGGGTACTTGGTGCTGCATACGGGGTACTTGGAGCCACACTCGGGGTGCTGGGTGCCATATTTGGGGCGCTGGGTGCTGTGCCGGGGTGCTCAGTGCTGCTTTTGGGGTGCTAGGTGCTGCTTTTGGGGTACTTGGTGCTGCATACGGGGTACTTGGAGCCACACTCGGGGTGCTGGGTGCCATATTTGGGGCGCTGGGTGCTGTGCCGGGGTGCTCAGTGCTGCTTTTGGGGTGCTAGGTGCTGCTTTTGGGGTACTTGGTGCTGCATACGGGGTACTTGGAGCCACACTCGGGGTGCTGGGTGCCATATTTGGGGCGCTGGGTGCTGTGCCGGGGTGCTCAGTGCTGCTTTTGGGGTGCTAGGTGCTGCTTTTGGGGTACTTGGTGCTGCATACGGGGTACTTGGAGCCACACTCGGGGTGCTGGGTGCCATATTTGGGGCGCTGGGTGCTGTGCCGGGGTGCTCAGTGCTGCTTTTGGGGTGCTAGGTGCTGCTTTTGGGGTACTTGGTGCTGCATACGGGGTACTTGGAGCCACACTCGGGGTGCTGGGTGCCATATTTGGGGCGCTGGGTGCTGTGCCGGGGTGCTCAGTGCTGCTTTTGGGGTGCTAGGTGCTGCTTTTGGGGTACTTGGTGCTGCATACGGGGTACTTGGAGCCACACTCGGGGTGCTGGGTGCCATATTTGGGGCGCTGGGTGCTGTGCCGGGGTGCTCAGTGCTGCTTTTGGGGTGCTAGGTGCTGCTTTTGGGGTACTTGGTGCTGCATACGGGGTACTTGGAGCCACACTCGGGGTGCTGGGTGCCATATTTGGGGCGCTGGGTGCTGTGCCGGGGTGCTCAGTGCTGCTTTTGGGGTGCTAGGTGCTGCTTTTGGGGTACTTGGTGCTGCATACGGGGTACTTGGAGCCACACTCGGGGTGCTGGGTGCCATATTTGGGGCGCTGGGTGCTGTGCCGGGGTGCTCAGTGCTGCTTTTGGGGTGCTAGGTGCTGCTTTTGGGGTACTTGGTGCTGCATACGGGGTACTTGGAGCCACACTCGGGGTGCTGGGTGCCATATTTGGGGCGCTGGGTGCTGTGCCGGGGTGCTCAGTGCTGCTTTTGGGGTGCTAGGTGCTGCTTTTGGGGTACTTGGTGCTGCATACGGGGTACTTGGAGCCACACTCGGGGTGCTGGGTGCCATATTTGGGGCGCTGGGTGCTGTGCCGGGGTGCTCAGTGCTGCTTTTGGGGTGCTAGGTGCTGCTTTTGGGGTACTTGGTGCTGCATACGGGGTACTTGGAGCCACACTCGGGGTGCTGGGTGCCATATTTGGGGCGCTGGGTGCTGTGCCGGGGTGCTCAGTGCTGCTTTTGGGGTGCTAGGTGCTGCTTTTGGGGTACTTGGTGCTGCATACGGGGTACTTGGAGCCACACTCGGGGTGCTGGGTGCCATATTTGGGGCGCTGGGTGCTGTGCCGGGGTGCTCAGTGCTGCTTTTGGGGTGCTAGGTGCTGCTTTTGGGGTACTTGGTGCTGCATACGGGGTACTTGGAGCCACACTCGGGGTGCTGGGTGCCATATTTGGGGCGCTGGGTGCTGTGCCGGGGTGCTCAGTGCTGCTTTTGGGGTGCTAGGTGCTGCTTTTGGGGTACTTGGTGCTGCATACGGGGTACTTGGAGCCACACTCGGGGTGCTGGGTGCCATATTTGGGGCGCTGGGTGCTGTGCCGGGGTGCTCAGTGCTGCTTTTGGGGTGCTAGGTGCTGCTTTTGGGGTACTTGGTGCTGCATACGGGGTACTTGGAGCCACACTCGGGGTGCTGGGTGCCATATTTGGGGCGCTGGGTGCTGTGCCGGGGTGCTCAGTGCTGCTTTTGGGGTGCTAGGTGCTGCTTTTGGGGTACTTGGTGCTGCATACGGGGTACTTGGAGCCACACTCGGGGTGCTGGGTGCCATATTTGGGGCGCTGGGTGCTGTGCCGGGGTGCTCAGTGCTGCTTTTGGGGTGCTAGGTGCTGCTTTTGGGGTACTTGGTGCTGCATACGGGGTACTTGGAGCCACACTCGGGGTGCTGGGTGCCATATTTGGGGCGCTGGGTGCTGTGCCGGGGTGCTCAGTGCTGCTTTTGGGGTGCTAGGTGCTGCTTTTGGGGTACTTGGTGCTGCATACGGGGTACTTGGAGCCACACTCGGGGTGCTGGGTGCCATATTTGGGGCGCTGGGTGCTGTGCCGGGGTGCTCAGTGCTGCTTTTGGGGTGCTAGGTGCTGCTTTTGGGGTACTTGGTGCTGCATACGGGGTACTTGGAGCCACACTCGGGGTGCTGGGTGCCATATTTGGGGCGCTGGGTGCTGTGCCGGGGTGCTCAGTGCTGCTTTTGGGGTGCTAGGTGCTGCTTTTGGGGTACTTGGTGCTGCATACGGGGTACTTGGAGCCACACTCGGGGTGCTGGGTGCCATATTTGGGGCGCTGGGTGCTGTGCCGGGGTGCTCAGTGCTGCTTTTGGGGTGCTAGGTGCTGCTTTTGGGGTACTTGGTGCTGCATACGGGGTACTTGGAGCCACACTCGGGGTGCTGGGTGCCATATTTGGGGCGCTGGGTGCTGTGCCGGGGTGCTCAGTGCTGCTTTTGGGGTGCTAGGTGCTGCTTTTGGGGTACTTGGTGCTGCATACGGGGTACTTGGAGCCACACTCGGGGTGCTGGGTGCCATATTTGGGGCGCTGGGTGCTGTGCCGGGGTGCTCAGTGCTGCTTTTGGGGTGCTAGGTGCTGCTTTTGGGGTACTTGGTGCTGCATACGGGGTACTTGGAGCCACACTCGGGGTGCTGGGTGCCATATTTGGGGCGCTGGGTGCTGTGCCGGGGTGCTCAGTGCTGCTTTTGGGGTGCTAGGTGCTGCTTTTGGGGTACTTGGTGCTGCATACGGGGTACTTGGAGCCACACTCGGGGTGCTGGGTGCCATATTTGGGGCGCTGGGTGCTGTGCCGGGGTGCTCAGTGCTGCTTTTGGGGTGCTTTGTGCTGCATACAGGCTGCTCAGAGCTGCGAAGCCTGGTGCTATACGTGGGGTGCTTGAGGTCAGATTTTGGGTGCTGGGTGCTGGGAGCCACACGTGGGGTGCTGGGGTGCTTGGTGCTGCATTTGGGGTGCTCGGTGCTGCTTTTGGGGGGCTTTGTTCTGCATACGGGGTACTTGGAGCCACACTCGGGGTGCTGGGTGCCATATTTGGGGCGCTGGGTGCTGTGCCGGGGTGCTCAGTGCTGCTTTTGGGGTGCT